TGTTCAGTGGCCTGCCTTGCAAGCACAAGGACCTGAGTTCAATCCCCAGTACCAAAAACAAACAAACAAACAAACGAACTGTTTTTAATTTTTTCCTATACTGGGAACTGAACCCAGGGTCTTTAGATTGAGAAACATTGTCAGATGTTTTATTTTTTTATCTTGAGACAGGTTTTCACAATGGCTAATTTGCCCAGGTTGGGCTCATACTTAAAGATTCCCCTGTCCTGGCTTCCTAGTGTGTCAGGATTACAGGTATGTGCCTCAATGCACAACTCTGTTTTCAATTCTTTTGGGCATATATCAGGGAGTTAAATTATTGGTTCATCTATTTTAGTTTTTTAAATTTTATTGGTTTTGTTATTGTTGTTTTGTTAAGCATCAAACACAGGGCTTCCTACATTGTGTTTATGATTTTGAGGAACCAACAAAGTGTTTTCTACAGGAGCTGTGCTATTTTGTATTCCTGCCAGCAATATATGCAAGTTCCAATTTGTTCACATCTCTGAAAACATTTGCTACCTTTCTTCCAATCCCTTCTCTCCCTCTCTGTTCCTCTCCCCCCACAAGAGATGGAGAAGTGTTATTTTGTTTTAGTTTGATTTTTGTTTCACTGAATAGTGATACTGAGAAGCTTTTCATGCATTTAAAAACCATTTGTAAATCTTTAGAGAACAATTCAGAATCATGCTATTTTTAAAAACTGGGCCCTTTTAAAAAGAAAATATTGAGTGGTAAGAGTTTTTTTAAAAATTCTACATACTAGTTAATTATTAGATAAAACATTTGAAAATATATTTTGTCAGTTCCATGAGTGTCATGTTTATTTTCTTGATAGTATTGAAACATAAACATTTTCAATATTTTTTCAAAACTGGGAAATGACCCTCATTGCACATTCTGGGTAAGTACTCTGCCACTGAGATACACCCCACCCCCACTCATCATTATCATCATCATTATTATTTTTATGATTATTCTGAGACAACATCTTATTAAGTTGCTAAGGCTAGGCTCAGACTTGTGATTTTCTTGCCTCAGCCTTCTAGCAAACTGAGATTAGAGGGGTGTACCACTTTGGGCACCAGAAAGTTTTTGATTTTTTATAAAATAAAAATGTATTTTTTTCTCTTTTTGCTTGTACTTTTAGGGTCATAGCTGCAATGTCACTTGTGCTTTGCTGAACTCAAACTCATAAAGCTTAATGCTCATTTTATTCTAAGAGGTTTATTTTGCTTTTTTAGCTACTACATAAATTTCAAGTAAATTTTTCTGTATGGTGTGATAAAGGAGATCAAGTTTATTCTTTTGTATGTAAATATTCAGTTGTCTCAGTACCAAGTATTGAAGAGAATTTTTTCCCTTTAAAGAATTTTTGGCATGGTTGTCAAGCAATGGCCTACAAATGCAAAGGTTGATTTCTATATTCTCAATCGTCTTCCACTTATCTGTATGTCTATGCTGATAACAGTGCCACACTTTCTTCACTACTGTAACTTCATGGCGCATTTTGTAATTTGGCTGAGAGAGTTCTCCAAGTTTGTTCTCTCTTTCCAATATTGGCTTTACTATTGTGGATTCCTTAAATATCTACATGAATTTTGAGACTGACCTACCAATTTCTGTAAAACAAATCAAGGTAAGATTTTTAAAGGGATTACATTGAACCTGTGGATTTGTTTTATTGTAGAGAGCTAAGTTAGGTAGAAATATGATAGCTGGTCAGACAGGGCTAAGCCCTCAAGGAAGTCAGTGAAGAAGATGAGAATACATTACCACTGTGGCTGGAGGTGCATCTATTTAATGTCAGGTCTCAAGATAAAAATGAAATGATCAGTCCTATATGCCTGCCCCAGGAATACTATAATTAGTATTAAGTTGTCCTGTAAGTCTAGATAGACATCAGTCACCCAGATGAGTGCTCAGGACCTCCTGATTCAACACTTCCAAAAAAGGTCCTTGTTCTTTCCAGGTACACTTTCTATATGACTTGCTTCCCAGTTGAATCAACATGGTCTAAGCAATTATACTTATAATCTTACTGGTTGAACATAATTTTGTCCTACATTGTAACCACCTTGTGATTTTATTCTATAAAGCTTCCTCTATAAAGTGGGGTGCACAGCTACCCATCCAGATCCCCTCCTGTCTCTCAGAAGCTCTATCTCTTTCCTTCAATAAATATCTCCTACTCTTAACCTCCATTGTTCCTTAGAATTCATTCTTCAATTTTGGGTTCTGCATATCTGATATCTAGCAGGTTGGGAGTTATATTATTTCTCCTGTATCATTTGAAGGTCTTATATCATTTGTTGACCCCACTGAGATAATTGGAAAGAGATAAGAGTAAATTGTCATCCTTTTTTGTCAATTGCTTATTCCTTGAATTTTTGTACCTTGTGTTTTTATATATTGTTTATGTTAAAATTATGAAAAATTTAAATTGAGACTATGGGAAGATTATGATGTTTCATTGATGGGACATTTTATTTTGCCTGCAAGATCTTGTGTTCCTGTCTTGTATATGCTGCATTTGAGCTTACTATTTGCTGAATTTATTGGTGCTTCTTGCATGAACTGTTTGATATGTTTGACTATTATAGTTTGTTATCTCATCTTAAACAACAGCACTTAGGAAAAGTAATATTAGAGTATCCAAAAGTGGACTTTGATACTAATCAAAATGTGAATTTCTGGAATATTGTAAAAATCAATCTTTTAATGAAATCTAGCTTATATTTAGGAAATATATATATATATATATATATATATACTTATTAATAAATCACAAGACCCCAATGGCCAGTTAAAATACAATAGGCTAGCAGCCATTCTTAAGATTTGGGGAACAGATTTTACTGCGGCAGTCTGGCTCAATCTCCACTCTGCGCTCTAGAAGGGAATGTCAACCTTGTTTTGCCTCAGTTTCCTTTCTGATTTGATCTTCCAATGGTGAAGAGGCAATTGTAGCTCTTGAGATTCCTCACTTTCATCTCTCTAGGCTGAGCATGACAATTCATGGGCAAACTGTCTCAATAATTCATGTGAGCATCAGAAGGAAAGCCTTTTTTTCTGATGTCATTTCTAAGCTTTTCCTGTCAATTTGTCCTTTTCTTTTTTAGAGGCATATTTGTGCTGAAGATTAGAGAGAAGAAACCCTGAACTATCTTAACTTTTCCCTCCTATCCAACAGCTAAGAACCTTTAAATTGAGCCCAAAGAAAATCAGCATTTACCAATGCTGAAGCTAGGGAAGCCATCTTAGATGAGGAACACATACCCCATCTTGGGGTCAGATGAGACATCAGAGTTTTGACCAGCCAGCAGCACACACATAACAGTGATGTCTCTGCTTAAGTATTCTGGAAGCTGTCTTTCTCAGGAGACTGAACATGAGATTCTGTGGAATGAACCAATTTCTGGGTGAGATCAGAAGTAGCTATTTTGTAAGCACAAAGGACCAAAACATATTTAATTTAAGGGAGAATCCCCAACTTCCTGGCTCTCTATTTCCTCTCATAGGCCTGATTCTTATCATTTTTATGTGTGTAAAGAAGGGAAAATACTTTTGCTAATAAGTTGTGGTTGCTGGACAATGGGTATAAGTTTTAACATGTGAGCTTCAAAAGTCTGCTGCAGATATAGAGACAAAAATTTTACAATACATTTTGAATAAAATGTAGCGTTATCTTGCTGCTGAGGAAAATTGCCTAAGTGATTAGGTAGTGTCTTAGTTACTTTTCTCTCATTGCTGAGACAAAATATGCAACATTCAATGTTAAAGGAGGAAAGGTTTATGTAGCTCATACTTCGTAGAGCTTTCAGTGTATAGTTGCCCTACTCCAAGGAAGAGTTGAACACAGCAGAAGGGCATCACAGAGGAGAACAAAAGTTTATGGTGCCCACGAGGTAGCAAGAGCAACAAGGAAACCTTAAAAGCTTCTTCTCCCCATCTTTTTTTACTCCATGTAAACTACTGGGATTAGGGTTGTGCCAAACTAATTATTAGGCTGATTTAGTAATCACACACTCTTAAAGCTAGCATCACACATTCTAGATTTAGCCAGCTCTTAAAAAAAAGCCTCATCTCACTCACATGAGGCTTTGTGTGGACATCTAGACACAAATCATAATAGGTAGATAGCACAAATATCTTGGAGACTGTTTTGACCTTTTGCTCAGATCAGAATTTTCCTGAGCCATTGCTTGACTCTATCTATCCTTAGGGTGATCTCTTTTGCAGGGCGAGAAGTGCTTCTTACAACTTACAATTTGTCATTTGTGGTTTTTTTGGGGGGGGTTGGTTTGGTTTCCTCTCTCTCTCTCTCTCTTTCAAATAATTGGAAAGCCATGGTTCCGGTCTCTTGAATATTGGTTTAATTTTGCTAGCAATGCTTCTTTCTTTAAGCATGATTTTTATACAAGAAATCAATTATACCTTGTGCTTTTAAGAATACAAGTTGGGGTTAGGAGTGTGAGTTTCCAGAGAAAGTAGGGGTACATGTCAGTAAGGGTTGCTAGTCTTACCTGATTTATCTTCTGCTCACTCTGAAGATAGCAGAGACCTATTCTGGAGCAGCTCACCCAGGGGGATGCCTTAAGACAATATAGAAACCAGGTATGGTTTAAAAGGGATGCCTAGTTTTTCCCTCTTGTGTTACAGATGGAAAACTCAAAGCCAAATTCTCTTACTCCTTTTGGTATATATTCTTAAGAGCTGGAAATTGTTTGACCTTCACCTATTGAGAAAGGACTGCTAATATTTATCTGCACCCATGCATGGGCAGTTGAGCCCCTGGAGGCAAAAGGGAATGTAGAAGGAAGTATTGATTATGAAAGTATTTTACAACTAGAATTTTAGTGTAAGAGAGAGGAAAAATTGTCAGAAGTGTCCAAAATATAAATGTAAGCCACAGGAAAACCAGAAACCACTGGCCCTTAAAGAACAAGCGGATGCATTCACTATCACTGAACGTGAGGTTCCCTCCATTTGTCTTTCAGATAATGAGGGGTGAGGCTTCTAAGCCAGCCACAATTGAAGCCTCTACTGAGGTGTACCTATCCTTATCTGATTTTGTTCAAGCTCTTCAAGGACAGTATCCCTTACAGGAAGTAAATGGAGAGTTTGGCATTATCTATGTCCATCTCAATGACTTCAAACAAATCAAACAAGATCTAGGTAAGTTTCAGATGATCCTGATAAGTACATTGAGGTCTTTAGGGGATTTACCCAGACCTAAGAACTGAACTGGAAAGATGTAATGTTACTCCTAAATCAAACATTGACTTCTAATGAGGGCCAAGCAGCATTGCAAACTGCTATTACATTTGGAGATTAAATATCATGCTGTTAATTTTAGAAGTCCAGAAGGCAGGAAAAAAAGGGAACAGTAAGTTCCTACTGGAGACCAAGTAGTTTCTACACAAGATTCCTTGTGGCCTACCAACCAGATGGGAGATTGGAATAGGAGACATCTTCATATATGCAATATTGAAGGTCTAAGATGTGACAAGAACTAAGCTCTTCAAATACATTAAATTGTCAAGTACTTATTGGAAGAAAAATGAAAACTCCTGCCTTCTTAAATCATTTACAAGAGGCATTGATGAAACATACATCCCTGGTACCTGACTTGATAGAAGGACAGATTATTTTTGGTGTTTTCTTTCTTGTATACGTCAAGTTTATTTGTACATTTTAGGTATGCATTATGAGCACATTCATCATTGGTAATTTGTACATATATGTGATATAATTTGGTTCTTATTTTTTTCCATTTCTTCTTCCCTATCTTCAATCTCTCCACCTCTCCCTATATACAAAAGCTTTATTTCCATTTTTCCTTCTTTTCTCATTTTTCTTTCCCTTCTTTCCTTTCCCCCTTCCCCCTTGCTATTTCCCTTTCCCCTTTGAATACTTTCTTCCTACTTTACAATATCTAGTATACATTTTGGTCCTCATCTACACTTTCAGTTTCTCAAACCAGAGAAACAATTTGGTATTTACATATGTGTGTAATATGCATTTCACTCAAGTGTATGGTGTCGAGGTACATCCATTTAGCTGCAAATATCTGTAGTTTGTCTTTCTTAATGGATGAGTAGTACTCTATTTTATAGAAAAAGAAACCTTCTTTATTTTTAAAGTGTTTGTAAATGGGGAGGGGAGGAGGGGGCGAAGGGAGGGCAGAGATAAGGGGAAAAATGAGAACCAAGACCTATCATGTAAAGGTACAAGATCCCAATAATGAATGTAACTCTACTGTACACCTAAAATGTACCAATAAACTCAAAAAATAAAAATAAAACAGAAACCTTCTTTATCCAGTCACCAGTTGATGGGCATTTCTGCTGTTTCTAAGGTTTAGCTATTACAAAATGTGCCACTATAAACATGGGTGTACATATATTGCTGTGGTATGATGCTTTTAATTCTTTGGAAAAATACCATAAAGGGGAATAGCTGAGTCAAATGAAACTTCGCATTTCAGTTTTTTGAGGAATTGCCACACTGATTTCCACAGTGGTTGCATCAGTCTACATTCCCATCAACAGTGGGAAAAGGTTGCTTTTTCCCCACAGCCCCATTGGCATTAGTTATTGGTTGATTTCTTGGTAGTAGCCATTCTTTCTGTAGTAAGGTGGAATCTCAGCATTGTTTTCATTTGCAACTCACCAATGACCAGTGATGTAGAACCTTTTTTCATATGTTTATTTGCTGTTTCTATTTCCTTGTCTGACAAATGTCTGTTCACTTCAGAAGCCCATTTTGGGATTAGGTCTTTAAATTTGAGAGGTCTGATTCTTTTGAGCTCTCTGTATATTTTAAATAGTAGTCCTCTGAGGAACAGCTGGTAAAAATTATTTTACCACATTGTGGGTTGTCTCTTTAATCTGTTGGTGGCTTCTCTTGCTATGCAAAAGTATTTTAATAAGATGAGATACCAGTTGTTGATTCTTTGTGCTAGCACCTCTGTGTCTGAGGTTTTGTTCAGAAAGTCTTTTCCTATGCCAATATCTTCAAGAGTTCTGCCTAACCTATCTTCCAATAGGTTTAGTGTTTCTGTTTTAATATTTAGATCTTTAATCAATTTCAATTTTAGTTTAGTGCCTGGTGAAAGCTATGGGTCTTGTATTCCTCTTTGAAAAGTCAAAACCCAGTTTTTCCAGCAACATGTATTAAAGAGGCTATTTTTCCTCCAGTGAGGGTGTTTGGCTCCTTTGTCAAAGATGAGGTGGCTGAGTGTGTCTGGACTTGTTTCTTCATCTTTTACTCTATTCCATTGGTCCTTAGGTCTACTTCTTTATGGATACCATGCTGTTTTTAATCATAGTAGCTTTGTAGTGTAATTTCAAGTTGGTGATTATAATTCCTGCCTTGCCTTTGTTGCCTAGAATTGCTATTCTAGGTGTTTTCTGATTCTAAATGAATGTTTTGGATTGTTTTTTCTACTTCTGTGAGATATGATGTTGGAATTTCAATCAGGATTACATTCAATCTATATAATAATTTTGGAGTCACTTTTGTCTCCCTCCTCTCTTTTTTTCTTTTTGGTACTGGGGATCAAACTAAAGGTTCTTGTGCTTGCAAAGAGGACAGTGGACCCACTGAGCTAAATCCCTGGCCCTCAATCTATATAACAGTTTTGGAAATATGGCCCTTTTCACTATATTGGTTCTTCCTACCCAAGAAAAAAAATTTTTTTTTTCATTTTTTGATATCTTCTTTGATCTCCTTTTTCAGAGTGTTGTAATTTTCAAAGTAGAGGTCTTTTACCTCCTTCATTAGATTGATTCCTAGGCATTTCATTTTTGTGGAGGGAAGCTATGGTGAAAGTAATTGTTTCCCCAAGTCTTCACTCACTGAGTCTGTTATTCATATGCAGGAAGACTTGATTTTTTGTGTGTTGATCTTGTATCCAGCTACTCTACTGAATTTGTATATTATATCTACAAGTCTTTTGGTGGAGATTTTTTTGAGTCCTCTATATAGAGTATCACATCAACTGTGAATAATGACAGTTTAACATCTTCATTTCCTATCTTTATTCCTTTTATTTTTTCTCTCATTGGTAGTTTATTGGTACATTTTAGGTGTACAGTAGAGTTACATTCATCGTTGACATCTTGTAGCTTTACATGACAGGTCTTGGTTCTTATTTTTTCCCCGTACTCCTGCCTCCCTTCACCCCCTCTTCCTTTCCATATTTACAAAAACTTTATTTCCATATTTTCATTTTCTCATATGTTTTTTTCCCTTATTTCCTTTCACCAAACCTTCCCACTTCCCCTACACCTTTAGTGCTTTTCTTCCTATTACACAGTTAAGCTTTTTTTTTTTTTTTTTTTTTTTTTTTTTTTTTTGTTCTAGGGATTGAACTCCTTGGGACCTTGTGCTTGCAAGGCAGGTGGTGGCACCACTGAGCTAAATCCCTGGCCCCGTATTTATTTATTTCTCTTGTCTGATTGCTCTAGCTAATGTTTTCAGACCTATATTGAACAGGAGTGGTGATAGTGGACATCCTTGTCTTGTTCCTGTTTTTGGTGTGAAAGATTTTAGTTTTTGCTTTTTTAGTATGATGTTGGCTATTGGTTTTTCATATTTTTTTTATTAAAGATTGCAAAGATACATGACAACAAGAAATGAAGATACTGAATAAAAATATCAAATATACATATATATGACAGGAAAAAAGGTTATGAAATAAACAAAACATGTATACCACACAAACTGATAATCCAAATACATTATTAGTTTGATATGATCTTCCAACGTGTTCTTTCTCATTTTCTTTTTGTATAATATTTTTGAAATAATGTATTTACAAATAAAACAGTTATATATTATAGTTGAGAAACTGTCCTCAAAATTTTATGATTAATAAATTCCTTGGTTATTATTAATTTGATAAATACCTTATGCCTTTTGATTGTATTACTTATATTTCCTAACAAAACATTCCACAAAAAAGAAGTATACTTATATTTGAAATCCAAAAGCAACTAAAAGAGTTCATATTTTTAAATTCAGATTTTTCTCTTTCTATTTTATTATATACCATACTTATTTTTATTATATTTTTATAAGCATAATGATAGAATTTAACACCAACACATATGTAACATTCTTCCCAAACAAATGACTAAGAATTAAATCAAGCATGTAATTTAGAGAATTCATAAGGTTGGCAGAGCAACTATCGATATGCCAAATATGCAAAATCCTACCACATTTATGACCATATTTCTCATTTAATAGTGCACACATATGTGTAAAACCATAACCCCACACATATACACAATGCATATTTTCTACAATACAATATATACTTAGGTATAATAAAACTGCCGTGATGTGTGGCATGTTTGTGATTTGTGTGATTTGAGAAAAACAAATATCATCTTTGAGGCAGTTGGAGAATTTGTAATATGTACCAGATACTAAGTGATATTAATGATTTATTATCCATTTATTTAAGTATAGTTATGATAAAATTTACTTAAAAATTAATATTCCTTATCAGCAGAAAACAGGCACAAAGATATATTGATAACATAACAACATTTGTCTTAACAAATTTCCAACCAAACAAGCTGTAGGGACAGAAAAGGAAGTTTGCAGAAGGCAGAGATGAAAGAGGAAAATGACAGATGGACCTTAATACTTTTCATACTACTCATATATACAGATTTCATAAATTCTCAAATAAAAAAGAAAATGAGAACCAAAATAACTCATCAATTTGGTAGACTAAGATATAAAGACAAAGATTAATGTGTAGATAAATTTTAAAAATATGAAATGTAAAGCCTGAGATTTAGCTCAGTAGTGTTGCACCTACCTAGCCAGAACAATGTGCCGAGTTTAATCCCAAGCACCAAGGAAAGAAAAAAGAAGAAAAGAGAAAAGGAGCATATGTGCTTTCTAACATACTCAATAGATTAAAAATAAATTATTTGTTATCTCTTCCTCTCAAATTGTTCACTTCACAAGGATATAGTGACCTTCATTGTCTCTTTCATTCAGTTTAGGTTTGAAATTTACTTTGTCTTTGAATAAGATTGCTAACCCTGCTTTTTTATGGGCTCCTGTTGCATAAAGAAGTTTTCCATCCTTTCACTTTCAGTCTATGGGCTTCTTTTTCCACTAGGTGTGCCTTTTATATAACATATTATTAG